TACTGCGCCGGGTGGGCGGGGCCCATCTCCCCGGTCTCCTTACTGCGCCGGGTGGGCGGGGCCCATCTCCCCGGTTTACGGCGCCGGGCGGGCGGGGGGCCCCATCCCCCCGGTTTACGGCGGCCGGGCGGGCGGGGGGCCCCATCTCCCCGGTTTACGGCGGCCGGCGCTCTCAGCCCATTTCTCCCACGAGGCCTGAGGCTGCCACAGCCGCCCGCACGGCACCCGCCTGCGTCCTCCTCACACGCCGGCCAGGGCCCCCCTTCTGCCAAAGCGGGAGCAAGCCCCGGCCAGCTCAGGAAAGGGGGTGCGGTTCTCAGCTCCCCCATCTTCTGCTCTCTTGTGAGGAAACACCCCCCGCCCCCCACAAGTGCTCACCTGCCTCCTGGCCTGTGCGCTGAGCCGGCCGCGCCTCGGGGACCCTTGCGGGGGAGCCCCACTGCGAGCGGGCGGGGTGCGCGCCCCAGAGCCCGGCCCTAAGCGGGGTCTGCACCGCCCCGGGCCACGCGGAGAGTGGGGCCCCCGCGAGCAGACGCACCCTGAGACTCGCGCTCCACACGTGTGTGCCGGGCGGGCCCAGAGCCGAGGCCCCTGAAGCCGACTCAAGCCTCAGGCACCCGCACCCCGCCGGAGCCCGCTGCCCTCCGGGGGCCCCTGGGGTCTGAGGCTGAGAAGCGCCCGCGCCGCCGTCCGCCAGTCTCCTCTCCGCGTCCAGCTTGCTGCCCCAGGGGAGCCGCCCTGCCCAGGGCGGGACAGACACTCCGTGGCCTCCCCCGGTGGGGCCTCCCCTTTCCCTGGGGGCCCCGTTACACAGCAAGTGCTCTCCCGGAGGCGCCCCCAAACACGGGCCACACCCCCGTTGCTGCCTGGACCCCACGCAGGGCGGCTGGTGGCAGAACCGTCCCGACACCCGGGCTCTGGCGCCTCGTGCTGAGCGCTCACTTCCCCGGGGTGACCCCTGCAGAGCCGGCACCGCCAGGGCACGGGCCCGGGCACTCGCCTGGCCACCCGGTGCCCGCGCCCAGGGCCTCTGAGCTTAGGCTGGCGGTCCGGCGGGCAAAGCCCAGCCCGGGGGCCCGCGAGCCCATCGCAGGGCCCTGCCTGGCCCCTCCCTGGACCCCACTGTCCTGCTGGGCACGTCCTCGGGGCAGGAGAAGGGCGAGGAGGGCCGGGCCAGGCCGGGCGGGGCCCATCGTGCCGGGGCCTGTCGCACTGGGCCGGGCGGCTCCCCTGGGGCCGGGGAGGAGAGCGGCTGGTCGGGGTTCGGGGGCGGGGCTCGCTCTGTGCTCAGTGGGCAGCAGGGCAGAGGTCAGCTGGCAGGCGAGGGCCGCATGGGGGTCAGCCTGCCCTGGTCTGGGCTGTGCCCTCCGTTCCCACCTGGCTCGGCCCGCTCGGATCTCTGCGATTTGGAGCAGGATGGTGCTGGGTGGCGGGGGCTCCCGGGCCCTGGGGGTCTCTCGCGGGCCCTGGGGGTCTCTCGCGGGCCCTGGGGGTCTCTGCCGGGCCCTGGGGGTCTCTCGCGGGCCCTGGGGGT